TCCAAGTGATGAAAGGAAACGCACATTGAATATTTTGCAAAGGGCATTAAATGTGGAAAGTGGTATGGATATTCCAGACCCTCGCCAGCTTACAATGGATGGAGGTAGGTTTTTCAAGTAATGTTTAAAATACTAGAGTTTCCTTTAATTTTTATGATCTTTCTTATTGTTTTATTCTTACTATCAGTAAAACATTCAAGGAAAATTACTTAGTCATAACAAGTTTTTTTTTATATTTTGTCAATATTATAGTAAATGATAGTATAAGTTTAATAAGTAATTCAGTTGAAAATATAGGGTTAGTAGTGAGATTTAAAGTCTTTTAGTTGGCATATTTCATTGACTTTAGCCTTCACAGAAACTGATTTTTCTTTACATAAGATAGAATTTAAAAAAACGTTTATTCATTTAGTATGCACAATATTCTAAGAAGTAATAAACTTTTGAATATTAGTATAAAAGTATCTTATAAAAGTTTGACAAATGATTTTATGTTGTGGTTTTGGAAATTAAAGCTAATTTACGACTTAAAAGAAATTTCTATAGTTACTTTGGTTAGTTCTTGTAGGAATTCATGTGTATTTTATTATATGGTTCATACACATATAGATAAAATTGTTGAAACATATTTATAGTCAAAAACTGAGCTAGGCTTAAACTTTTATTTGCAGCTAAAACTGATATGTAAGATAAATTATTACATGTAATATTTCACTTGGTGATAATGATGTGATACTTTACTTACACTTTAGTTGATGTATCCATTGTGGGTAAAGAAGACCTAGGCAGCCCAAAAAGTGGACTGACTCAAAAAACTAACAAATCTAGTGTCCAGAAGGGACGAGGGCGACCTAAGAAGAGTAAAACAGAAGAGGAGGCTTTGAAACAGAAAAATTTGCGTTCAGCAGACTCAGGTAAATACATGTTGTTCTTTTAACTTTAGTATAATTTTTTTTTCCATATATATGCAAATATGTAAAGCTTCAGTCAAAATGTTTAGAATTTTGCCAAACCAAAAGAATGGTGAAGTAGACTGATTAATTTTCATAACTTTGATCGAGATTTTGAACAAGCAATGTTTATTTACTACACTATTTTCAGGAACCTTTTTTTGTTTGATTTCACGTCACAATTTTTCATCAAGTGCTGATAGTTATGTGAAGACTACTCTGTATTGGGCTTAAAATGTGTTTTATATGTGACAAAAGACAGTGAACCATTAGTTCCACATATCATTAGTTACAGTGTGGACACAGAGCTTGAAAAACTGCATGATCATTGGAATATAAGGTTGTTATCTTTGTTACTGAAGAAACTACAAATGTACCAGAGTACCAACGTTGTTCATGTGAGAAAGTTAACGACTAGCTTGGATGAATTTGTAACTACTCTTGTCACATAGTTAAAAAGGCAAAAAAATTTTGAGAGATAATGGAATTTATCTATTTTTTGCATGTTATTAATCTATATTCTTTGGTGCATTATTTAATTACATAAAAATTATTAAATGCATTACTATCATTAGTATAAAAAAATTAGGTTTAACTCTCTTCGACAATCGACAGCAAGAAAAAAGAAGATTGGTTAAGTATTTATTTCTTGTTTTTCATGTTTATTCTTTACATATAATTATAAAAGTAACTAAAATGTAAAAATAGGAATCCTTTTAGGTTAGTTAAGATTAGATTAGGTAAAACAACTAATAATAATGTTATAATATAAATGTTTCATGAGGCACTCGCGAGCAGCTCATGAGTAATGTAATTCGTTAGCGTAAAGTGAGCTCCTTGTTCCCCGAGTGATTTACAACTTATAACGGCAGGGATAGTAGTTAGACACAGTTCAAAGGTCAATAAAACAATAAATTTTAATTATAAATAGATGTATACTGTTATGAAGCTAGAGCTACTTAGGATAAACGAATGTAGTTTCATGTTACAATATGAAGTCATTCTAGAAAGAAAAAGGGTACTTTATATTTATTTCGATTTTTTTTGGGTGATTATGAGGTCAGTTGAATTGAAAAATTCCATTTTGAGATAGAGTAGAGAAAATAACAGATAAACTGTAACGTTTTACTGCAGAAAAAAAAAACGTTTGAACATAGGAGGTTTTAGGGATTGTACAAAGGAAATGTGAGATTTTTGAGATGAGGAAAAGTATTTTTAATTTTAACATGAAAATTACTTTGCACATGGACTATTCAAAACAAATACTCAACATATTCATGGACAAATCTTTATTTTATTTTATTAAAAATACTTCACTAAAAAATATAATTTTTTGTACGTGAAAGACTGCCAGATTTTATGAAGATATATTCACACTATATTGAAAGTTAGAAGTATTAAGTCTATAAAGATTTTAGAGTACAAAGAAGTTATGTGGTCAGTCAAATTGACTGAGCCTGTGTTGAGAGAGTTAAACAGGATTTAAATTTAAAACTGCTTCAGTTTTATTTTTAGCTGTAAACAATGAGACTCTCATAATTACACATGTGTTTTAGGTGTACTATTCTTAAGTACAGGAGGGGTATAAAACATATCTATTTCTCAATAATTACAAAATTAAAATTAAAATGGAGTTTTTAAAAAAAATCCTTGAAAAGTTCATTTTAGGTTTAACAACCAACATTCAAGTAATTTTTTATAAGTAAAACCCCTGTGAAAGATGCAAGATTTTTTAAAAAGAAAAATCATAACAGTTCACAGGGTAACGTATCAATTTTCATGAAATATACATGGAATTACTTCATTACCTAAAAGTTGTGTGTATGGAATTAGATTTTTCTTTCAAAAATAGCAAAAATGAGTAAAGTAATTAGAATTTTTACCTTAAACATCATTTGTAGATTGTGCTGATGTCCATTTCAAAGTATAGATGTACAAAAGTTTTTTTCAGTTCTATTTGTCAGCTCAAAACACAATTTAAGAATTGTTTCAAAACTAGCATTGTTATGGCCTAAATTGCATATACTAGTATCATCACAAAACTTTTTATGTGCAAAACAGTACACAGTATGCTTAACAGCTAAGCTGTATAGTTAGCTAAGGTGATTTCTATGATGTCTTATTTAGTTTCATATTTCTATGTTACAAAAAGTGATTAAACTCAAGTTTGCAATAAGAACAATTTCAAAATTTCATTTTGTTGCTAATACAACATTGAACTGTGAACAAGCGTGTTATATTGGCAGTTGTGCTTAATATTTAGCTTTCTTTGATAATTTTATCCTCTTTTTTTAAGTGGAATCCACACAGCCTAGATCCATAGGGTTAAGAAAGTTGTAGTATTGGGCTAATTTTGTGATTTCTGTCTAGTCTATGAAGTTCAGTTTACATATGGCCTTATTTGTGACATCCCCAAATTAAATGCTGAATTTGTGAAATTTGATTCTTAAATGTTATTTCTCAATTTAAAATATTACCATTGTTTAAAATATTGTATTATTTTGTCTTTATCTGGTATAAGATGTCTTATTAATTTACACAAAAATTATACAAGTGGTATTTTTTGTGTAGGAAAGAAACCAAAGACAATTACAGCCATTAAAACAAAAGTTAGAGAACCTGCCAAAATGCGATTTAAGGCTGCTCGTGGTGAGTTTATAAATATAAACAGTTGCATCTCTTTTTCCCTTTTTCTTTTTTTTGCATATCATCAAATATGAATGTGGCTTAAGGTTTTCCATTTTCTGTGATAGGGTGTCTGATTGCTGTTTAATATATTTTGTCATTATAGTAAAAAACATTGTTTACAGATGATGATTGTAATGTGTTATGTGTCTTTTCAGTATCTCAAGTATTGTAAGTGCTGGATATATATCAGAAACTGATTGAGACATTATTCTGATCCCTTGGCATTCAGTTTTTAACTATGTGAATCAAGGATAAGTGCAGTTGGAGACAAACATATTTATGTATGGAAGTTTCTAAAACTAACCGTAATTAGGATGATTATAGAGTGATATTGAATGTAAGGTGACTCCCATTTTCAGATAACATTGGAAAAAATAAATAGGTTCCACAAAATCAATACTATAACAGCCTGCAGGTGGATTAGTTGTATGAATTAGCAATGACCTTAAGCAAACATCTGGTGCACATGTGTAGATGGATGCTATCTGGACATCCAGGAATGTGACAGGCTAGAGTAGGAGGAATGGGCCTGTCATCAACCGAGATTATAAGGCAACTATGAATTTTACAGCCTAATTATTAATAAAAAAACACCACCTCGGGCCAATACAGTTTTAATGTAATGTTTTTTCTTAAATGTAAACTTCACTAAAGTGGTGTGCTAATATTTATTTGATTTACCTGTCATATATGGAATCGGCTGAATTTGTAATTTGTTCAAAGAGATCATAAAGCAATTTTCCATTTCAATGCATCACATTTCACAAATGTTATGGCATAGAAAGGTGAAATTGTACAGAGATTTTAAGGGTATCATGCAGATGCAAATACCATAATTGTCTTTTGTTGCCATTTATTGTGCCACTGTGATCTATTGTCTAATCTATCACAAGAATTGTTCAAAATGTGCTTCTCAAATATCCAGAATGTACTGCATCTATGTGGTGATGGATGTTACAGTAACAATGTTCATTTCATCTGGTATGCTGGTATCCAGAAGAATTTTATGCTTGAGTCTGGAACTGTATGAAGCTTCCTTCAATATGCATGTGACTTCAGATACCCTCACAAACCAGAAGTCACCTAGTGTTAGGTCTGTTGAATGAGGTAGCCATTCATAGAGAAAGTGACGTGAAATGAACCTGCCTTGAAAGTATTCCCGCAAGATGTATTTTACATGGTTTCCATTATGTGGAGGGGCACCATCCAGCAATGTGGATCACATTTCACTGCTGTAGCATGAGAATCATATTGATTGTGAACATTTCATTGTACCTTTCACAGTTGACTGTGCAAGTTTTCAGGCTTTGTTGTGATGCTTCTTCAAATATGTATGGTCCAATAACAAGGTTACCTGTGAAACATCACATTGTTACCTTAGAGTCATGGATGTGTGTAGAATTTTCAACTATATAATACAGTTGCTTCCAGAAAAGGTAAAGTGTGCTTCTGTAGTTCATAAGACTTTCAGTCCTGCCAAGAGCTGCGGTACAAAATCAACTCATTGGGTTAAATCTGTTTTTTTTCAGTGCTTGAACATGATGCTGATTGTAAGGAAACATTTACAAAGTTGACTGAAGATCCTTACAAACAGTTGAAATTGGCAAATTCATACACCAGTGACATAACTGCATGTATGTGCACTTACGCTGACTTGTTCCATGACAGCATGGATGACCACAGTGACAGTTTCTGTACATGTTGGTGGCCTGCCTGTACATTTCTTAATAATTTCACTTATAATACACGGGAACGTTAACAACTAGGTTGGATGAATTTGTAACGGCTGTTGTTGCATAGCTAGAAATCCAGAAAAATTTGAGAGTTAAGGGAAATCGTCTACATTTTGCATGTTATTAGTCTATGTTCTTTAGTGCATTATTCAATTGTTAAATGTAATTATAAATAGATGTATGCTGTTAAGAGTTTAAAGCTACCTAGGATAAACGAATGTAGTTTCATGTTACAATTTGAAGTCATTCTAGAAAAAAAAAAGGGTAATTTAGATTTTAATTTTTTTTTGTGGTTACGACGTTGGTCAAATTGACCGATCCTGTATACAGGTAGAGTAGAGAAAATAACATATAAACTATAAGGATTTAATGAAAAAAACGTTTGAACTGCATTTAGGAGGTTTTAGAGATTACATAAAGGAAATTTAAGATGAAGAAAAGTATTTTTAATCTTAACATGAAAATTACTTTGCACATGGACTATTCAAAACAAAGACTGGATATATTTATGGACAAATCTTTATCTTAGTTTATTAAAAAACTTCACTAAAAAATGATATTTTGTATGTGAAAGACTTATAATAAGAACTGAAAGACTGTCAAATTTCATGAAGATATACACACTATTTGAAAGTTAGAAGAATTGAATCTATAAAGGCTTTAAACGAGTACAAAAAAAAGAGATGTGGTCGGTCAAATTGACCGAGTCCGTGTTGAGACAGTTATAACAATCTAGAGCGCTCATATGTTTGTGTGTTGGGTGAACCATGCATAAATGAATTTTATGTGTTTGGCATCTAATTGGTTACTTCTCTTTTTGCATGTATAAGCAAATCTGTGTTGGATGAACCCACGTTGTAGGAGGGGTTACTGTATCTCATGATTTACTGTTGACCACCTCAGGATGAATTATGATGAGTTTTGTGTTAAAACTAGTGTAAACAGCCTACCCTCTAATTCCCTGAAAATGCCTTCTGATTTAAAATTCTGTGATTTTTAGAAAACTATAAGAATCACTAAGTTAATATTTTAAGCTTTTGACTCAATCCCTATAAACACTTCTGTAAAGGAAGAATGGCTCTTGCTATTGAGCAGAAAATAAAGTTACATATAGTTTGTCGTGCAGAATTTGATTCTACAACAGATGTGAATTACACTTTAGGCTTATCTTGTATAAAGACAAAATTATTATTTCAGAAAAGCTATAATGAATTTTTTAGTGCAACATATCTAATACTGAGTATCTTCAAAGTGTACATATTGCTTAATTCGTATAGATTTTATGCTAAAAATGTAAGAAGTCACACATGGTTCTGAAAAAATAAAAACTGTTGAAAAAAATCATTAAAACACCTTGCATTTGCATGTGTGAGTAACCGAATCATTAAAAATACATACCATGGATAGTCTTGTTTTATTCATACTACAAAACAACAATCATTTATATTAGAATATTTGTATTACTGAAATGTTAATTTATCTCTCTCTTTCTCATTTACTTTTCCTGGAAAAAGATTAAAAAATGAGCAACACTACAGTAATACCAATAACCGTGTAATGCTTTAAGTGTATACTATATTTCAACTTAACTCTCTCACTATGGGCTCGGTCCTAGAGACCAACCTTGTGACCATTTTGTGCTTGTTATAGTATTCATACTTTGACCCCTGATCATAGGAAAATCCATAGTGATAGAGTTAATAAGTTATTTCAACAGTTCAAAGTTATGAAAATGTATTATTATTATGATGTGAGTGAAACTACTTCATTCTGTGTTGACTTGTTAATTTTAAGCAACAGATTATCTCAAATTCTGATTTTAACAATCGGTGCCTAGTGGATTCTTAAATACTTGTACATACTAACTACATATTTTTTTTTATATAATTCTCTTAAGTTGCAAACAAATATACTATGATTTTTGAAATAATTTTTGATAGCATCTATGTTTGTATATCTAACTATAAATAAATAAGATCAGTTGCTACATATCTCACCTATTTTTGAATTACAAAAATTATTTTACAATATTTGATGGTATTTTGGATGGTTTAGTGCTGTTTCTCAAGCTGTGTTAAAAAGTTGCATAAGTTCTTACAAAATACTAAAATATACTAAAAGAAGTGATTGTAGAATCCTTAATATGTATGTATGGTATGTGTGTGTGTGTGTGTATTTATTCTTAATTTAACAGCAACAATTATCAATGAAATTGAACTTTCTATTCAGTAGTGAAAAAAGAGGAAAATAAAGACCCTAGAACTCTTCCATTATTAAGACCAATGACTAAAATTCAGAGAGAGCGATTACAGCCCAACCCAAAGATTAAGGTTCAGGAGAAAAGTCCAATGTTTGAATCGGGGTGAGTTTCGTATTGTTTATATTTCTTTATATCGGTGCATACCCATTTCAAATAGCACATGCATTATCTGTTTATTATTTTATATGTTTTATTGTAAACATTCCTTTCAAACGTATTATTTTAATTTTGTTTTTACTTAATATTATAATGCTATGTATTATTTTCATAATGAGTTTGAGTCAGAAGAAGATATATTTTGTATATATTTTAATTTATATATTTTCTAAAAAATAGGGATAGTTTTTCTAGTGGAGTATTTTCAAAATACAGTAGTATGAGGTGATATGGTATATTCCATTATGGTAAGAAAAAACTTGTTCCAGCAGTCTGATGATTTTTAACACTATTTGTGCAACGTGACTTATTATATGACTTTTTTCAGAAGCTGTAAATTAAACAAAATACTTTTATCATACTTTTCACAAATTTTAGGAGAAGCCACTGCTTACCATGGGTGTTGATACAAGAATCAGTTGCCACTCACACATATTTATACGTAGTATGTAAATTTCTGATATATCTCATTTGAACTGAATCAAGGGATATCACATTCATTAGACCTGTAAAATGATACAACTGCTATCACTTGAACTTCAATATTGAGATATATTCTGAAGAAAGTAATATTTTATAACTAAAAATTTGCCCACACATATGTAACTGGAAAGGACTATGATGCTCTTTCTCTCTAATGGGATTATAAAGCTTTCTCTCGGACAGCATTATAATAAGGCCCTCTCTCTGAAAGGATTATAATAAGGCCTCTCTCTGACAGGACTATAATAGGGATAGTTTGTCTAGTGGGGAATTTTCAAAATAAAGTAATATGAGGTGATATGGTATATTATAATAAGGCCTTCTGTCTGACGGGACTATAAGGCCCTCTCTCTGACGGGACTATAAGGCCCTCTCTCTGACAGGACTATAAGGCCCTCTCTCTGACGGGACTATAAGGCCCTCTCTCTGACGGGACTATAAGGCCCTCTCTCTGACGGGACTATAAGGCCCTCTTTCTGATGGGACCATAAAGCCCTCTCTCTAACGGGACTATAAGGCCCTCTCTCTAACGGGACTATAAGGCCATCTCTCTAACGGGACTATAAGGCCCTCTCTCTCTAATGGGACTGTAAGGCCATTTCTGTAACTGGATTATAAAGGTCATTCTATAACAGGACTATAATGCCTATTCTCTCTAACAGGACTATAAGGCCCTCTCTCTCTTACGGGACTATGAAGCTCTATCTCTCTAACAAGACTATAAGGCTTTCTAATGGGACTATAAGGCTCTCTCTAACGAGACTATAAGGCTCTCTCTAACGGGACTATAAGGCTCTCTCTCTCTAACGGGACTATAAGGCTCTCTCTCTCTCTAATGAGACTATAAGGCGCTCTCTAACGGGACTATAAAGCTCTCTTTAACAAGAGTATTAAGCTCTCTTTAACAAGAGTATTAAGCTCTCTCTCTAACAGGATTATAAGGCCCTCTCCCTAACAAGACCATTAAGCTCTCTCTCTTTAACAGGATTATAAGGCCCTTTCTCTAACAGGACTGTAAGGTTCTCTTTCTCTCTCTCTCTCTCTAATGGGATTATAAAGCCTTCTTTCTGTAGCAGGAATATAAGTCTCTCTCTCTGTGTCTAAAAGTATATTTAGTTTTGTACATATAAAACACACACACACACACACTATTAATTAAATATTGAGAGTGTAGATGAAAAGTCATTGTATTGTTTACTTTATGTTAGTTGTAATTAAATATCTATGGAAGTATACATATTTGTTTATGACCATTTATATATAACAAAATTTTAAGTATCAAATTTTATAGGAGGCACACAAGCAAAATTGTTTATTTTGTTCAACTTGTTTGTTTCTAAAATTATGTTATGGTTTTATGAATTTTCATATCTAAATAACATTTGCTTCTCTTACTTTAGGGAACCTCTACCTTATGTGTCACCTATAACTTACAGTAAATTGATTATCCGAGCAGTTCGATTGAAAGACCATCATCTACTCCAGTCTTTATTATCAGACAAAGAACATGTTTGTTCGGTAACAAAATATAGTTTTATAACTAGGTTTACTGTAATTTTACTTGTCTGTTCTGTTTAAAGCTTTTTTTATAATTTATTTTTGGAATTATTAGAAATAAATAATAATAAAATAATAAACATCTTGAGACTTCTAATTAATACGTTTTGAAGTAATATGAATGATGAATATACCTTTTGTTTTTATTTGAAGACAATATTGCATTATATTGAAACTATTAACAAAATATAGTTTTATAACTAGGTTTACTGTAATTTTACTTGTCTGTTCTGTTTAAAGCTTTTTTTATAATTTATTTTTGGAATTATTAGAAATAAATAATAATAAAATAATAAACATCTTGAGACTTCTAATTAATACGTTTTGAAGTAATATGAATGATGAATATACCTTTTGTTTTTATTTGAAGACAATATTGCATTATATTGAAACTATTGTATGAATACATCTTTAGTTATTTGTGAAACTAAACATTTTGCACTGATTAAAACACTTTAATATGCTTGTTTTTTATGTAATTTTAAATAATTACAGTTTTTAAAATGCATTAAAATAACTAAGAAGTGATTTTTTCTTAATATAAAGCATATAAATGCAAAAAAATGACCAAAAAACTTTTAAAAATTAATAGTAAAATGCCTTAAGATTCTCAGTATGATAAAGAATTACTTGATAAGGGCTTTCTTTACTTCTGTTCTGAATGTGTTATTTTATTTTTTACATTATTTTAGTACACCTTAAAACAGAGTAAAGATGTCTTGAATGATGCTCTGACATATGCTATTGTTCAAGAGGACCATCAAGCCATTAGAATGATACTTTCAGCTGAACACAAAAACCTTGTTACCTGTCCTGAGCATTTGCTCTCGAGGGGGAAGATTGGGAGGTGTGTGAGACCCTTCTTTATAGGTTTATACCTTTGAATTGTTATAGCTTATAGGTATTACCTAGAATTTACTAAATAATGACAAACATCACCTGCTCGCACATCAACACACTTGGAAATAACATATACACATTTTTTTTCATATTTTCAATAAAAGAATATCTACTATTATTTTTTCTTGGTAGTTGTATTTTTATTGCATTTATAGAATATGCTCTACTAGATAACTTATAGTTGTACAATATTTTTATGACCTTATTAAGAAGGATGGTGGATATAGTTGCTTTTAATTGTTAATATTTTTATTAAAAAAATCATTATCTTGCATTTAGTGTATACTGTTATTTACCTAAACAATTTTTATATAAAAAAAACGTTATTGTTACCTTGCCTGTTTTGATACATATTGTTAACCTTATAAGAATGAAGTTGGTTGATTTGACCATTTTTGGAGCTGTAAAACTTTACGTATTATAATTCTGAATTTACTACGTGTAGTACTCACTACCTATTCAAGCTTTTTGTGCTTGAGTAAAAATATTTTTTTTTGGACATCCAATTTGTGAGAATCAACAATGCAATTGAATTTACAATACAAATAATATATCAGGCACTAGAGTAGAATGTCCCATAATATATCAGGCACTAGAGTAGAATGTCCCATAATATATCAGGCACTAGAGTAGAATGTCCCATAATATATCAGGCACTAGAGTAGAATGTCCCAAAACTGCTATAATTTATCCATCTTTCTATGTGAGCTATAAGTATGTTAAAAAATATCATTAATTGTTACATCGGTAAAAACCACGATCACGCAACAAGACATTTCTATCAATTGAATACTTTCCTTGCCAAATCAAAATAAGGGTTGTAAACATTATATTTTTAGTTGTTTTACAAAAAAAAAAATGTTTTGAAATTTTAGTGGTTTTTCTGACTTGAAATATTTTTTCAATAGCTGAAACATTTTAAAATTCTCTTTTAATGAATATTTTTTATAGTTGTTCATGTCTTAAAATAAAAAAAATTATACTTTATTTACAAATAGTGAAGCTAGACTGGATTGAATTCTTTTTAAATTATATTTTAAGTATAATATTCATAGAGTTGAAATATTTAATAAAAAATAGTGTGGTTAACTGCAGATAAAAATAATTATATTTATTTTACACTAATTCTTTCTTATGATAGTTGTATAGCATATATTTATATTTGGTAAAAAAACACTAACAAGATAGCAATTTTGATGTAAGCATTTTAGTTGATATACAGTACTGTGTAAAAGTGTTAGGATAAGAGAATATTTTGTCATTCTTTGCATTTTATGGGGCTAATTTCTCCATGCCATTACAGAATGTAAATTTCATCACCATGGTAATACTTCACTGATCCCTGTTGACAATTGAATAAGCCAGGATGAGAATACTTATCATTCTTTAGAATTCCCATATACTTGTATCAAAGGCATGTCATAAGGGTTCTGCTTGAATGAACATACTGATCAAATTTAGGGTATGAAATAACTGTCATGGTACCCCATGCAGTGTCTTAACTATATAGAAAGAAGCTAGCAAGAATATGGTATCGTTATATGCTAGAATAAATCAATTTCAAAGCACTCCACAAATACATCTTCATAAAAACAGCATTTAACACTATATATTAAGTTTTGTTGTCATGCCATGGCCCAAAAAGCATAGAGAATTGTCAGTAGGGCAGAGAGTTCACATAAAAGCTTTACATGATGCTGGTTGGACTCTCCTGCAAATTGCTACAGACTTTAAATTCTCCCCAAACACTGTCGAGTACACCCTAGATCGTGAGACCAAGACAGGTAAATTTAGAAATAAGAAAGGAAGAGGCAGAACACCTAAATTTAATGATACTGATATTAAGTATCTTCGTTTATGCAGCCTTAGGGACAGAAGGAAGACTGCCACTGATCTCAAGCATGATATAAACGACCATGTATCAAATGACAGAAAATTGTCCAGATCTACAGTATCAAGAAGACTCGATTACAATGGAATATTTGTTCATGTAGCAGTTAAAAAACTTTACTTCGATCTCCAAATATTATCAAAAGACAGCAATTTCCTAAAAAGTACAAAAACTGGACTGTTGATGATTGGAAAAAGAGTGTTATGGATGGATGACTCCAAGTATGAAATATCTGGTTCAAAGCATAGGTTGTATGTTCAGTGGAAGAAAGGTGAAAGATACCTCAATGCATAGCACCTACCATGAAGCATGGGGGTGGCAGTGTGAGGGTTTGGGGGTATTTTTATGCTGAGGCAACAGGAGTTATTTGCAAAATAAATGGAACAATGGACCAGTGCAAGTACCATCAGTATATCCAGTGGTTTGTGTATTATTGGTAAAGGATTTTACTACCAAGAATATAATGACCCCAAACACTCATCCAACCTATGCAGAAATTACTTAGCTAGGAAAGAAGCTACTGGTATCATTCAAATGATGCAATGGTCCCCACAGAGCCCCAATCTCAACCCAATTGAGCAGATCTGTGATTTGATAGATCAAAAACTTGAGAAATCAAAAGTTACTTCCAAAAAAAACTTTATGGGAGTGTATTAGAGATACTTGGAATAAACTCCAAAAGGAAACTTTGATTAAATATGTTGCAACAATACCTGAAAGACTGTCTGCAGTTATTAAAGCAAAAGGGGGACACACAAAATATTAACATTTTGCTAAATTCAGGCACTTCCACTGAGTTTCTTTTGTATTAAATATGAAGATTATTAAAGTTTGATGTCTCACTTGTGATTTACCTCCCACTGTTCTTTGAAAGTAGCCTGAAATCTTATTTTTGACTTCGTCCTAACTACTTTTGTACAATACTGTAGATTAGTTTTGTTATAAAAAATTAAATTTGAATGGTATTAATTTACAG